AAATAAGGGCAAGAAGAAAGATGTTCCCTTTACTTCCCTTTCTGCAGCAGAGTTACCTTAGGCATATTTTGGGAGATCCACGTGCTTCTTTGCTATCATTACTGTGGCCTCCCCTACCTGTCAATAGCGGAATACCATTAACATTCAAAGCCACTTACAGCAACAGCCTTGATCATGGGATATGACAAGTTAATCGGAAAACTTTACCCATATTCCAATTAGGATTTGGTCTGACTGGATGTATTGGGGGGAAAAAGGTGGTTCTATGTTATTAGGGACTCGGACACCCTCTATTTTTCTCTACCAAACACAGAACATGCTTTCTGTTCTTAAAGTTACCTTAAAGTCCAAGATAACTGCTGGAGCTCTAGCACATATTTTGGGAGATCCACGTGCTTCTTTGCTATCATTACTGTGGCCTTCCCTACCTGTCAATAGCGGAATACCATAATATTCAAAGCCACTTACAGCAACACCCTTGATCATGGGAATATGACAAGTTAATAGGAAAACTTTACCCATATTCCAATTAGGATTTGGTCTGACTGCATGTATTGGGGGGAAAAAGGTGGTTCTATGTTATTAGGGACTCGGACACCCTCTATTTTTCTCTACCAAACCCAGAACATGCTTTCTGTTCTTAAAGTTACCTTAAAGTCCAAGATAACTGCTGGAGCTCTAGCCATCATGTTTATATTCCAGGTAGCAGAAGGAGAAAGCAAGAAAAAGGAGGAAAGGTGCTCTCGGAAATGAGTAATTTTCCTTTAAGGAATCCTGTATTTATATCTTATTGGCTGAAACCTAGTCATATGCCACATTTGACTATAATAGTTGATGGGAAATGTAGTAATTTAGCTGCATCCTTTAACATTGAAATGAAATAGGAGATCTGTTGCTGAGGATATAGAGGGGAACGGATATTTGCAGGCAATTAGCAATCGCTGCCATATTCCTCGAATGTCCAGTGCTCCAGATTACTTATCTCCTTTCCTACACACTCAATGAAGCTATCTTAATTCTTTTTTTAAGTGTATATACACACACACACACACACACAAAATTGACAGGAATGATCCTCCTAGAGCAATGGTTCTCAAATTTGGCTGCACATTAGAAGCACTTGAGATGTCTTTAGAAAATCCTGATGTCCAGGCCACACCCCAGCCAATGAAACCAGAAATTCTAGCAGTGAGACTCTAGCCTCAATATTTTTAAAAAGTGTCTCTAAGTGATTCCAGTACACAGCCAAGTAAAGTATACACTGTTCTAAAGAAGTTTTAAAAGAAGACAGGTAACCAAAATGACACTATATTCTGTCATTTTTTTTCTGCCACGTAATCAAGTAATATTAATAACTGCAGGCCATGAAGAGTGAATAATTTTTGCAATGTTGGCCCTCCTTATGCCTGCCCTTAGGGTCAGTTTTCTTATGAAAACTTCTTTTACAAGAGCATCTTCTCTTCTATAACATCTAAACCACAGGATTCTCTGGAAAATCCCGACTTTTCTTTACCAGTGTTGGTCCTCTTTGATACCTTTACTTTTCACGTGCTCCCACACCTATTTGAACCCTCTATATGGCTCCAAAGTAATTGTCAAATTGGTCCGCACTTTTATCTCATTCAAAATCCACATAGCAAGCAAAGGAATGTTTAAAATACACACACATTCGATCCTGTCCCTCTTCTACTCTACATAGACTACAATAGCTTCCTATTGTTCTAGGACTCTGACCTGCAAGCCTCTCCTCCTGCCTGCCTCCAGCCTCATCACATTAGGGTCCAGTGACCTCCTTCCATGCCTCCTTTTCTTAGAGGGGACCTGTGTTGACAAGCCCACTGATCCCCAAGTTCAGTCAAACCAACACATTTATTTGCTAATTCCCGTTGTGGGAGCCCTTTACTGCTCCCACGGACTGGGTCATGCTCTACTTCTTCGTAGCCCTCATCCTAGTTATAAGTAATTGTTTTAAAGGCCCCCTAATATTTTTATGAGGGCAGGGAATATGTTCTTCCTTATTTCACTTCAGAACCTAGAACAGCTCCTCTATCACAGAGTGTATTTAACAACATAAAGATGGAGATGCTCTGAATGAATATATAGAGGAATGAGTAGTATGGGATACTGAAATTAGAAAGGTAGATGGGAGACTAACTGAAATGATCATAAATAGCTGCTTGTAGCTTAAGGACATGTGACCCAAGTAAACGTCACTCCCTCTTTTACAATATGTGTCTGTGTCTCTGCAGGTTGTGATTTGATCCCAGTACAGTATCTTCGCTGGGGGGACCCTGAGCCCATTGCAGCGGTGGTGTTTGCCTGCCTCGGCCTGCTGGCCACCCTGTTTGTTACCACAGTCTTCATCATTTACCGTGATACACCAGTAGTCAAGTCCTCCAGCAGGGAGCTCTGCTACATTATCCTTGCTGGCATCTGCCTGGGCTACTTATGTACCTTCTGCCTCATTGCAAAGCCCAAACAGATTTACTGCTACCTTCAGAGAATTGGCATAGGTCTCTCCCCAGCCATGAGCTATTCAGCCCTTGTAACCAAGACTAACCGTATTGCAAGGATCCTGGCTGGCAGCAAGAAGAAGATCTGTACCAAAAAGCCCAGATTCATGAGTGCCTGTGCCCAGCTAGTGATTGCTTTCATTCTCATATGCATACAGTTGGGCATCATAGTTGCTCTCTTCATAATGGAGCCTCCTGATATAATGCATGACTACCCAAGCATTCGAGAAGTCTACCTGATTTGTAACACCACCAACCTAGGAGTTGTCACTCCTCTGGGATACAATGGATTGTTGATTTTGAGCTGTACCTTCTACGCATTCAAGACCAGAAATGTTCCAGCTAACTTCAACGAAGCCAAGTATATCGCCTTCACAATGTACACCACCTGCATTATATGGCTGGCCTTTGTGCCAATCTACTTTGGCAGCAACTACAAAATCATCACCATGTGTTTCTCCGTCAGCCTCAGTGCCACAGTGGCCCTGGGCTGCATGTTTGTGCCGAAGGTGTACATCATCCTGGCCAAGCCAGAGAGAAACGTGCGCAGCGCCTTCACCACGTCCACTGTGGTGCGCATGCATGTAGGGGATGGCAAGTCATCCTCCGCAGCCAGCAGATCCAGCAGCCTAGTCAACCTGTGGAAGAGGAGGGGCTCCTCTGGGGAAACTCTAAGGTAAAAGTTGAGGGGGCATATGGGGCACTGGCCCCCATAGTGAAGCAGTTCCAGTTGCTTCCCGGATCTTTTAAATGGGAGATATCTGAGTGAAGGAAACTGTGAGAGGCAGGGTGCCTCAGGGCTTGAGACCTTCTCACTGAATGTTTTTTGTGGTGTTAATTGGATGTGAGTACAGTTACTTGGGCCAGGGCTAGAAACACAGAAATTGAAATCATAAAGAGTTATGGCAAAAGGAGAGTGAGGTTAGGAGGGCAGAGAGAGAAGAGTTAAGTCGCTGAGCCAGGGACCCTCAGGGGACAGACACATTGTGGACTAAATCCTAGTTCAGCAGAGCAGAGTAGAGAAGATTGTTATTAACAAAAAAGATTATGCTGAAAGCAGAACTTACACACCTGACTGTACTGGCATGTGCCTGAATCTCATGCAAGCCCAGAAGAGCCTTTGACTGCCTATTCCATAGAGGCAATAGAATGTAGAACTTATATTTTAATTCTTAATGGACAATATGAACTCTTTAGGAGATGTCTAAGTAGTTGAAAAGGGCAAAACAACAAATGGGCTTTACATGTAGTTGTTCTAAATAACCAGTAAGTTTCCCAATTCTCTGTTGCCTGTAGTCCTATACCACCTCCAAGTTCAATATTATAGGTAGTAGTTACTGGACCATTTCTATCTGAAAAGAATCTGGAACCAATAGCCAATGATTTCTCCCATGGGAGGGGCTTTCTTAGGTGATAAATTGTCCCAAAGCACTTCAATAGACAATGAGATCATGTTACCAGTGGCTTGGGAACAAATTCTGAGGTATTATAAAGGCTACACAGATTGTTGATAATTGGAAATAAGGATCTCTTTATTCCCATACACTGGGGATAAAGATCTCTTCTATTATGAGAAGTACATATTAAAAGAGCTAGTCAGGACATCGGCCCTGTTAACTCTACTGAGATTTGACAGTATTTCTAAAAGCTAGATGAATAAATGGAAGATAAGTATCTTTCATATGGAAGATAAATATCTAAATATTATTGCTTGAACTATTCTCCTATACCGTCATTTAGCCTGCATGAAAGTCCTACTTTTCAATCAGCCCTCGCTCTTTAAAGCATGAATTATGGCGATGGTAAAGATACTGTCTTCTGAGGTTTGAGAGGACTCATGGGATACTTGACGTTTATCCACAAGGCTCAATTCATCTGCATTATTAACTTATATCCTTGCTTCCTTCTTTTCTAATTCCTTTACACTTCTCATATATTTCCATGTACATCATGCAAGATATTCAACTAAATTTTAAATTGTGCCTTCTCCTTCTTCAGTAAATCCTGTGAATGTCATGGCCTGTACACAGAAGGCCTTCCATAAATCTAACCTTCTGGCATGTTTTCCATCTGCCTTTCTGACTCCTCTATGAAACATTCTTTTTTCTGAAACTTCTGCAAGATCAGCCTTTCATTTTAGCTAAGAAAATTTATTTTTTGAGCTTTTATTTTATCAGCTTTTCTTCAAACCTTTTCTTCAAACAAACTCTTCTAGGGAAGCCTAATATATAAAACAGACAGGTAATGGAGGGAGGGGATTGTGAGTCTATGTCTAAACACTTCAAAAATTCACCAGGGAAGGCTCCTTAGAGAGACAGCATGGAATGATGGCAAAGAACACTGGCTGTGTCGCCAGGTTGTTCTTAGTCTTAATTGAAGGCAGCAGAATAGAGTGCGAGACAGCACTGGGATTGAATGCTTGCAGCATCACTTATCAGCTGTGTCACTTAGGCAGATTTGCTTAACGTCTCTATGCCTCGACTTCCTCCTCGGATGAATGGAGATAATGATATGCACACTTCACAGAGTGGCCATGAGGACTAAATGAGTTGACACATGTAGTATCTGCAACATAGTAAGCTCTTCTTAAGTATTTGCTATGTTGATTAAGTAAATTAACAATTGTCAGCCTTCTTCCACATCTGAAAGTCTCTGTGACAGGTACACAATCAGGATGATCCTAGTAACAGAGATAGCATCACAAGAGGCCGTACAAATCCATAGACACATTGATTTTACAGTCTAGGTTTTCCAGGGCATCTCCATCTTTACATCATTCAACTCCTTGTCAGACTGTATCGCACACCGTGTGTTCCAATTTAAGCAGAGCGAGCTCCTTGAGAGTGGAAGTTTTGTCTGCCTTGTTCAACGCCATGCCTCCAATGGCTAGCTGTACCAACAAGGGTACACGGCACACCGAAGACACTCAATAATGATTTGTTGTGAGGGGAAGGTAGTGATATGGTAGATTTAAGTTTTGTCTGCCTTGTTCAACGCCATGCCTCCAATGGCTAGCTGTACCAACAAGGGTACATGGCACACCGAAGACACTCAATAATGATTTGTTGTGAGGGGAAGGTAGTGATATGGTAGATT